GGTTAGTGTATTTTTATTTCTGCTGGGTGTAGGGTTCATCAGCCTCCATCCTCCTTACTTTTTATAGACTGCTCTCTCCTAAATTCCTGAAGTTCAGAGCTAAGCAGAAAAATAAACGTGAGCTATTGACGTAGGAACTACACTGGACCATATATCAAAGAATCGTTTAATAAGTGAATTTAAGACTGTCTATTCAGGTTATGTGTGAAATGCCCTCTCCAGTCATTCCCTAGCAAGTTCAGGAAACTAGCAGATAGAAGATTTGTTCAGTCCAGACCGAATTCAAGCCATCGCTTCCCTCTATGTAGTTCAGTATCGATAGTTTTTATTCGGTCATCTCTATTAATGTAAATAAATTGGAATCACACAACCAGTCTTAAGAAAGAAGCAGGCCCAACGATAAGATACCACTGCAATCTATCAGAAAGGCCAAAATCCAGAACACAAACGCCACCAAATGACGGTGAGGATGTGGACTGCCGGTGCGAATGCAAAAAGGTACCACTACTTTGGAAGACAGGTTGGTGGTTTCTTGCAAAACTAAACATACTCTCACTGCACAATCCAGCAGTAGCTCTCCTTGGTATTTCCCCAAAGAAGTTGAAAACTTATGTCCACACGGAAACCTGCACAAGGATGTTTCCAGTAGCTTTCTTCCTAACTGCCAAAACTTGGAAGCAACCAAGATATCTTTTAGTAGGTGAATGGATAAATACACTATGTTACCTCTAGACAATGGAAAATTATCCAGCACTAAAAAGAAACAAGCTTTCAAGCCATGAAAAGACATGGAGGAATCTTAAATGCACATTACTAGGTGAAAGCAGCCAATCTGAAAACGCTACTTGCTGGATGATTCCAACTATGTGACATTCGGGAAAAGGCAAAACCGTGGAGACTGTGAAAAGATGAGTGGTTTCCAGGAGTCAGGGATTGGGGGAGGGAGGTGAACAGGCAGAGCATAGAGGGTTTTTAGGGCAGTGAAATTCTTCTGTGTGATGCTGTAATGGTGGATACACTTCGTCACGCATTTATCAAGACTCATAGAATGTACAACACCCACGGGTGAACCCTGATGTAAACTCTGCTTCGGGTGATAATGGCATCGATGTAGATTCACGGATTGTAACACAGGTACAGCCCTGGGGGGAATGTTGATAATGGAGGAGGCTGTGCATGTGTGAGGACAGCGGCATTTGGGAACCCTCTGTACTTTCTGCTCCATTTTGCTGTGAATGTAAAACTGCTCTAAAAAAATAATATCCATATGAAATATTTTTTAAAAGAGAGAGAAGGAAACTAACACATGATCAGCACTGCACCATTTCTGATGAATATGCATGAACTTACTGCCCTGTGACAGCCATGCTTCTAGTGGGTTTTATTTTGTGGTATTATATATATTGGCTATAACATTATATAGTATTTTATTGACTTTGTTTCAATAATATTACACCTAGAATCTTTTAAGACTTGACTTTTGAAGAATTCTGCATGAACTGGTAAAGAGGGTAAGGGAAGAGGGTTCATGGGCCTGAAATGATAGTGTAGGGGCTAAAACAGGGGTCCCGCCTGTTGGATGTGGAGCGATTGATGGGGAGGATAAATGGAAAATAGGTCGCTTGCCGTATAGGTACCATGTCAAAGAAGAGAGTTTCCTCTGATTGTCTTTCAAAGAGAGTTGTGCTTTATGAGCGTTTAAAATGAGTTTGCTTGGAGCCTTACAAGAGTCTAAAGTTGGATACAAGAAGAAATCAGAAGAACTGGGTGCAAGGAGAAGTTGAAGGGAGGAGGGTCCGGGAGAAAAGCAGAGGGGAAGTGAAGAGGGCAGTATGGGGACCCATCCATTGCCACCCAGAGCCCTGCAAGGAATAACAACTCTGCAAGAGAACTGCAAGTCTACCCTATAGCTTTCTCTCTGATCCCGTTGGGAGAGGGGAGGCTGTGGGAGGAAGAACCAAGGACCTGACCATCACATCTCACGTCTGTGAATGTCAGCTCGGATGATGTTTGCCTTCAGGAAATGTGTAGGATTCTCATATTCTTAGATAAAATTCAACCTCAAGAAAACAAAAGGTTATTTTTTGTATTGGCAATCTAGTGACCCCCAAAATAAGAGCAAATGAAAAAGTTTATCATCTTGTTTGAGTTACTCTAGATTAAAATAGAATTTAAGATTTCATTATAAATTTGGATATATGGCATTAATTAGGGTCACACTGAAAACATCATTTTCTCATTATACCATTAACTGATACTGCCTTCATTTTGAATTCATTTTCCCTTTTAAAGCTTTGGAATAATATTTTAATAGCTTAAATCACTAGGTTGTATGAATGGGAAATATATTATCATAGATTAGGAATATTAACTATACTATACAGAGCAGCTAAAGTGGAGAGAGAGAGGTATAGATTTACTATACCATTTACTTTTAATACATAGCCAGTCGGTTAACTATAAGAATGGCTTTATTACTTCTTTTATAATAGTTTCATCATTACTAAAATAATTAAACCTAGATAATTTTTAAAGTAAAGCACATACGTGTGATTATACACACACAGAGAAAATGACATTCATAGTTTAACCTTTTTGTGCAGAGGGAAATAAAGCGGATGTGTTATAGCTCAGATGTACGTACGGGACAGTGTCTAGCAAGAGACTTCATCTCTCTTGGGTGGGTGCCAATCAGGCCCTCGGTAAAACTGTAAGTTGGGAAGAAGTTGTTTTCTGATCCTTTCTTAGCTTTTTCTGATTGACCCAACAATGCCTTAAGCCACCTGCCACTGCTGCTGTTGGCACCGCAGGCGGTGTGGGCACCTCAGGGACTTGCTTCCCAACCCTGTCCCTCTTTTGGGGGAGAGGGGGAGGCTCCTCTCCTCTGTCCCTGGTCCTGATCTCACCGCAGGTGCAATACCACATTTGTGTTTTGTAAATGAGGGACATAGAGCCCACAAGTTCTGTGAGGATTCCAACTTCTCCTGCTTTCATTTGGTTGATAGATGGAAATAATTCCTCCAGGCATATTCTGAATCATGAGATGGTCCACCTTGAGTCAGTGGTGCATGTGCCCCTTTTTTTTCTTGTCAGCTGCTGCCGGAAGATCCATTGTAGCCCCTTGGAGACGTTAGATGTTCACAGAAGGGGTTTTTCCCCCTTGGAAGAGGGGTAGTACTCAGTCTTGAAAAGGTGATGTTAGCCAACCTGAGGAAGAAATACTGCTGGAACGAGTAATGCACTCCCCCACCATTTACTCACCAAATATCTATTGAGCATCTACTGTGTACCTGGCATTGCTCTTGGAACAGGAATGGGGATCTATCAGGGAACAAACCAGGAGACTTGCCCTCAAAGAACATACGTTCTAGCAGAAGACAGACAATAACAAGAAACATAATAAAGAAGTCAGGACAGAATAATTGCTCTGAAGGATGCTATAACAGATAAAGGCAATGCCAGAATGCTGGGTTGGGGAGTGGGTGTGGTTCAGATGGCAATTTTAAACAGTGTGGTCAGAGTAGCCACATAGAGAACGCGGCATCTGAGCACCTTTGAAAGAATCCGGGGATTTAGCCATACGCCCCTGCATATCTGTGGGATGAATGAGTTTTCTGTAATAAAAAAACTAAGCAGGGAAGGTGCCATATTATACTCATTCATGCCAAATTACAATTCTTCAATCCCTGAGGGGCACTGAAGTTAAAGAAAGAAACATTACTGCGTGAATTCTATTATTTTTCCAAATAAATGCAGAAATATTCAAATACAACTCTGCTAACGAAAACTGCCATGAAATGGCCTGTATGTAACTAGACAGTTTGTTTGCAGTTTAAATTTTCGAAATAGCCTAAAAATTAAAGGACAGCAAGAAGAACACACATCTAGAAACATACTGCAAGTTTTTCTTTTCACTTACTTATTTGTAAAGCACCCACGTTTTCTTTGGGTAAAAAGAATACCAGAATTTCTGGGTCTTGAAGTGAAAAGAAAAAAAGTGAATGAAGGGCTGCAAATGGCAAAATGTCCTTTCTTAAGGGTGAGTTGAATCCCATCACATATATATGCTGCATCTTCTTTATGCATTCATCTATCGATGTGCACTTAGGATGCTTCCATATCTTGGCAATTATAAAGAACGTTGCTGTTAATAGCGGGGTGTGTGTATCTTTTTGAATTAATTCTTATTTGGGGTTGGCTTTATTCCTTTGATAACTACGTAAGTTTAAAATCTAAAGCTCTAAACGTCCTTAGAAACAATGAACAGTACATACATGTAAATTTTAAAAATATATTCAGAATATTGTGTATATGTATTTACATGTAATATATTATATATGTGCTGTCAAATTGTAACAATTCTACCTAATAAAACTGAAAAATGAAAAAAAGAATACCAGAATTTAATATTATTGGGTTGTTATTATTAATCAAATACCACCGTTAAGCGCAGCACACCTTGGTCTCAGGGTTCTGACCAGCTGTCATGATGAGTGAAGTTCTTATTTTCCAGATCTTCTCAGATGAAAAGCCTCTGTCAATTCTGGTTTCTCATGTAGCTTCTGGTTCCTTTGAAAGGTTGGGAGCATTTCCCTAGTAAATGTACATCCATTCTGCAGCCTTTTAAGACGGTGGTTACATTTAATAAGTCTTAGGAGCGAGCAGCATTTTTGCCTCTCCGTTGCCTTCGTGCCATGAGTATGTGGCGTAGTTTTATAGAGAGAAGTGGCTGAGACACCCGATGGGAGGTGGAACTCACCTTTCCAGAATTCTGCAGCTTTAAACGAAAGGCATTTGAATTATTATCGGTAGGCTATTAAAACAAGTAAAAGCAATAAAATCTAAAGAGAACCACAGTTTGTTTTCTTTGCCCTTTGTCAAAGGTCTCATTCAATTCAGTGCAATTAATTGTAGCAACTCCTTCATATGAAAAACCTGTCTGGGTTTAAATAGCGAACGCTTCCTCTCTAAGGCAAAAGGTGTGTCCTTTGCTCTTTCAGATAAGGCGACAAGGAGGCATCCAGCTCCTGGTGGACCTGCTGGATCATCGGATGACGGAAGTCCACCGCAGTGCCTGTGGCGCCCTGAGAAACCTGGTGTACGGGAAGGCCAACGATGACAACAAGATCGCCCTGAAGAACTGCGGCGGCATCCCGGCGCTGGTGAGGCTGCTCCGCAAGACCACCGACCTGGAGATCCGGGAGCTGGTCACAGGTTAGAAGCCTTTTTCCTTAACCGCAGGACTGACTCTCTAGATAAATTTTCCATCATCACTGCCGCAAGGTGCTAACCGGGTATCACGGTGCTGGGCATCTCCGAGGGCTGATAGCACAAGCAGTCCCAAGGCGTGTTTGCCGATGACAAAAGTGGGTCAAGGGTACCAGGTGTCACACTGGTAGGCTGGTCATTTAAATAATTAGAATGCAATTAACAGAACCATCCTAAAATTCTATGACCCTATTTCAGTCTTCGTCATCTGATTTAGAAGTAGTTGACATCTTAACAATACCCGCGGGTCATCATCAGAATGACGTCAGTAACAACTGAAGAAAGGAAAAGGCACGTGGGTTACGGGTCATAAGGTATGTGTTCTGGCTTCTAGTGCGGCTAACAGCAGAGAGCTTATTGTACGTGGCAGTTAATTTCTTGAATAAAATATGGATGCCTAGTAGAAGCCCCCAGGTTATGTAATATTACATATTAAGGAATTTTTCAAAAGTGGTCATGAGAGAAAGCCTTTCCACGAGCGCGGAACCTTCGAGTATTGTGAAACTGACGTAATTATAGTAACTACCTCCCAGAGCCGTGAGTGAATGGGAACGTGTGAAGCCTTCCGCGCGGACCTTTCTTGGAATCCGTATGGACATAGGAAACATTAGTCATCGGCTATGTCCCTCACTTTTTATTTTACTTTATTTTTTTCTAATATTCTTAGTGCTGTTCTTCTTTGTGTTGCTGAAGTGTCGTCGGTTACAATGTGTCAGTTTCTGGTGTGCAGCATCATGTTTCCGTCATGCATATACATACATATATATTCGTCTTCATATTCTTTTTCATTATAGGTTAGTACAAGATATTGAATACAGTTCCTTGTGCTGTACAGAAGAAATCTGTTTTTAATCTATTTTTATATATAGTAGTTAATATTTACAAATCTCGGACTCCCAGTTTATCCCTTCCCCTCCCCGTCCCTCACTTTTTAAATGTGCAGTTTTACTTGTTGGAGGCCGAACGGCGTCAGGGCCTCAACATGGCGTTTCAAATGACTCTTCTTGATTGTGTACAAATCACTGGTCTGCGTGATCTTTGCCTTTTGGTGCATCAAAGTACCCCTTCCAGCAAGTATTTGGCAAGTGGATTGCAAAGTTGACTGTCGAAAAAGGATCTTTTAATTATCCATGATTCCACCAACCTTCTGTCTTGACTCTAATATTTCCTTGTAGCCGTGCTGATGAACATATGTGAGCTTGTTCATTTAAGAAAATACATGACAGAAGCTAGAGTCATAAATATTTGTTCATTCTTGGGTCAAGAATCCCAGGATAGTTTCTGTGATTTATACCCTTTAAGATGATTGTCACATCTCTTCGTACTCTTAGCTAAATTAGAACTAGACCCCCATTTTCTCTTGTTTTGTCTTTAAGTGAAGGACTGGCTTTCTGGGTGAAAATTAAGTTGTTAAGGGTTGCAGTGTTATAATAATGTTTCACACTGGACTAACGTGGGGTGACATAGTCAGGGAAGATAAAGCTATTACTATGCACATATGATGTGTAGGATAGTTTGGAGGGCAGTTAAATAGCTGAAAACATACTCTGCCATGACAGTTAAGAGCACTTGTCCTTATTTTCATGGATTGCGTTTAAATCGGATGTGCCTGGAAGAGAAAGGACTCAATGTGTGTGATGGAAAACAAACACCATGGTGCTTTTGTGCGTTAAGACCTTGCCGATGGACGTGTGAGGCCAACACAAGTCAAAGAACATCCTGCTGTATACTATTCCAGTTCATAATGTGAAAGAACTAGATTTTACTAAAATTTGGATTTTCTCCAACACAAAACCCTTGTCTACAAGCGTTCTCTGCGGTGGCTTATCTCATTGCCAAAGAAACTTAGCCACGTGCAAAAGGTTGAGGTGATGGACGGCTTCAGTTAGAAAGGAGCTGGCAGCAATGCCTCTGTCCCATGACATCTCCCTCACAGCACGCCCTGTGCTTCGCGTGACATCAGAAGCCGAAATGAAGGAGCTGACGGCGGGCTACCCCGTTGGCCTCAGCGCTGCTCCGACAGCTGCTGGGCGCCACCCGTCACGTGCACCTGCGCAACATCCGGAGCTTCTCTGGGAGCCCCGTTAGGAAACAGCAGAGGCAGATGAACTCTTCCGAACGTCAGCAAGCTTCCCTTCCTGGCGAAGCTTTGGCTGTAGGAACGATGCTCGTACTTACTACAGGGAGAGCGCAGGTGCCTCTCACTCTCCCCCGTTTGAGAAGAACCAAGGTTTCGCCCACTGTTTCTTCATCAGCATGAGCGGGTGGCCCAGACGCTCTCCGCCGCCCCTCCTGGAAGAAACGCCGTCTTCTGCTCCGACGCCATCCGAGCCGTCGGAGCGGGAAGGATGCAGGGTGACAGTGGCTGTTGCTGCTTCAGCGGGTGTGTCGTTCTGCCTCGCCAGAGGTAGGCTCTTACTGTGCGTGGCTGAACTTCGGACATGAATTTCACCTTTTCAAAGGAAAACACGTGGTCAAAGCATTTAGGCTGGCTGAAGCCCACGGTCACTGGGGTCGCCATGCTGATACTATGGGTGGAATAACTAGACGATGGGTGCCGTGTGAGAGAAAAACAGCAAGCACCTTGGCCAAGTACCACTCTAGAAGAGGAGACTGGAAGGGAGCACGCAGGAGAGCGTTCCGACGGGAAGGGGGCGCCGCTGCGGGCCAGGCTGCAGTAACGGAACCTTCCAAATGCCCACACTGGCGGGACCCGGGCGGGACCCGGGCTTGCCGAGGAGCCCGCCACACCCTACCGACTTCCTTTTCGACAGAGCATCAGGATGCAGATCTAGCCAAAGCTGACTCCACTGCCTGCTGCAGAGGTAAAACGAGGCAAATGGATTCACCTCCAAGAGCCTGAAAGTCGTTTTCATCTTCAGCAGCAGCGGCGCTCATCTGCCAGAGCGAGCTATGAAAGCTGGGATCCTGTCGGCGCCTGCAGGCTTTAGGAATCCAGCACACTGAACTCGATTTTACCTCAAGGTCATCCAATCCTCCGTTTCTCTTATGTACTAGTCTCTTTCCTCTCCTCTGAGACTCTTGTCTACACCTAAGTGAATTTTTTACTCCACTGAGTCCAGGCCCTTCATTCATTCCTTAGTCGCTCGTTTCTCAAATGCTTTTGAATGTCTGCGGTGTCAGGTGTGTGCTGAGCCTTGACCATGTATCTGCACGTGGGGGGCTGGCGGTCAACTGACCCAGCCCGGCACAGCCGCCTTGATGCTTACGCCAGCGCCCACTTATGGTTGGGGGCCCCGCTGTGAACTGTCACACCCTTGCATTACTGGCTGCAAATCATTAAGAGCATTGTCCCTGGCAAACGTGTCCATGTTTTAGAAACTTAACCAGACAGACGAGCAGAAAAAGAGTCCATGGCTCTAGAGGGTGGAGTAGAGGGTAAGAGGACAAAGGATCCGATCCGTTCACTTCGTTGTCACAAGGACCGTCCTCAAAACCTTCTCTGGAATTAGGTTAGACATGCGTGCATGAATTAAATAAAACAAGGAACTGTGCCCTTGACTTCCTTTCTCACTTTTCAGCAGACCTAAAACGGAGTTCAGCAAGGAGTAGGGACGTTCCGGTCCCCTCTCATGCTCAGAGTTTTTTGTGTCGTGTTCTTCCTGCACGTTAGTGAACTCTTGAAAACAGGTGTGTGTTGTAAAAGCATTATAGTATAAGGGAGAGTGATGTAGGCTTTGAATTCCTCCCTAGATGTTTACAAACTCGGATGTTTTGTAAACAAATACTCAGAAGAACAATTTTAGTAATTAAAAAAAAATAAAGCATGTTGATAAAGCAGACTTTAGATTACACTTACGCCATATATCCAGAAGGATCTGGAGCAAAAAATTATAAACAATAAAAGACTAAAAGAAATAAGTGATCTTGCAGAGCTTTAAATTATGTACTGAGGATTCCTTGGCAAACTGTTTGAACAACAATAGAACGTTAGAAATTGAGGTATTTACATTCATTTACATTCAACACATAACCACGCATGCTTGAAAAAACAGCTGCCTGTTTGCACTGCAGTATCTATTCATAGTGGAATAAATTTTGCCACGGCCTGTTAGGCCTTGCAATAAATAATTTTCTTCCTATGCAATAATTGCCATGAGATGATGATCAGAATTTTATGTAAATCCAGTTGAAGCTATTATCTGCTAGCCATTGCTTGAAATGTTCTAAGCAGATAAACTTTGATTAGCAATGCCACATGTCCTTTGAGCTTGACTAATACAAGTCTCTCTCTCTAAACACGGAAATAATCAGCCTAAATTTTGAATGCCCAACTAAAGATTTCAGAATGCCTTCCAAATCATAATAAAGCCATTTTTATTAAACCATAAGACCTAATAAATAAGTTGTGTTTCGGTCGGAAGCAAGCGTCCTAAGACTTCCACTTCCCCGAGAGCAAGATGTGTTCTTTCATCTTAAGCTTCGTACACCCAGGTAGTCTTTCCTTTTAATTAAGGAGACAAGCCTCAGTTTGACTACTTTACGCACTAGCATTAGGACCATTGATTTAACGCTTTAGTCTCCAAAGGGCTCCAAAGTCGTTATGTGACCCCAAAATTTATATGTTGAGGTCCTAACCCATAGACCCTCAAAATGTGACTCGGATGTAATTAGTTAAGTTAGGGCACTAAGATAGGATGGGCCTGTAACTGATACAGCTGATGTCTTTATGGAAAAAAGAAATTTAGACACAGACACATCCAGGGGAATGCCATGAGAAGATGAAGGCGGAGGTAGAGGTAATGCTGCAAGCCAAGAACACCAAAGATGGCCAGCAGACCAACAGGAGAAAGGCATGGAACAGAGTCTTCCTCACAGCCTCAAAAGGAACCAGCCCTGGTGACACCTTGATCACGGGCTTCTAGCCTCCAGAACCACGAGTCAATGAGTTTCTGTTACTGAAGCCACTCAGTCCATGGGACTTC